CTCAGACTAACCACATTGCTTTAACCATTAGCAGGTGAACTTGACAAGAGCAGCCATTGTAATTCACAATTTATCTGTGTTACATGTTATACCCACGGGGATGGACCGCAAATATTTAGACTGTTTATCAAATACGGGTTTTAATTGCTTTACTATTTTTCTGTCAAAGTCTAAAAGGCCAGAATCCCAATATCAAGAGTTGAATGATTCATTGTAATATAAACCGTTATAAATAACCAAAATATAATTGTGTGTACTTAATACTCCATACCTGCAGGTTTTTTTCCATGAATTCCATAATGTTTTCATAGTATCAAGATGGCTGCAATAAAAATACATTTTGGCAAACTACCGAATTGTCTGCTGTTGAAAAAGCATCGTTAATCAGCTATTCTTATAAGATATGTTTGTCTTAAAGGAAAACAAATTAATAGGTAAAAACATTTGTTTAGTTTTAGTTAGAGAATGATCTTACTCAACACGTATTGTTTATTTGTTTTCCGATCCATTTACATAAGATAAATCGATGTAAGAGGTTTGAAGACTGAGGCTTGTAGGCGAGAACTGCATCAAGTTACCACACTTTAATCTTTTTGATAACAAACTTTTTTTGTACGAAAATAAACTAACTTGTTCTTGTACATTTGGTAATGAAAAACCGCCTAATTGGTGGTAATTCTGTTAAACGACTTGATTTAGCCTAGAAAAGTAATTTAAAGCCCATTTTGTCTATATCCAAGCAGAAAATGAATATGGAGATACCATTTCCTTTCGGCGTGCTTGGCTTGATTATTCAGATCTTGCCAGTAAATACATTTAAATATCATTATCTGCAAAGCAGAATTGAAAAAAGTATAACGTAATTTTGTTTAGATAGGTAATGCTGAAATCTTGAACAATATGCTTCGAAGCAATTTGCTACCATCTGATAACCGCATATATATTGCTACACGTATTGCAATGCGCGTGCTGTTCGCGTGCATCAGACAGACGTCAATCATCGTGATAGTCACAAAATATATAAATACATATATATGTGTAGGTAATTTATCTATTCTAGTCTTCACTAGAAAGAAGAAATATTTGTTGCTCGGCAAACACGCCATGGGCCACTCTTCTAGAATTCAAGTGCCTCCAGCCAGAGGTCGTTTGTGTTGGTTTGGGGTAATGGTAGATGACGAAGCGGGGGATAGTCTATAACCCAGCGTTAAATAATACAGATCGTACCGTTTATTCTGCTTATCAATCACAGCGCTACACGGAAATGTGTGCTTAACTTATCGAATGCACGATATAAAATGACCTTTTAGTTATAGTCAATTTACCAGCGTTCCGAGGTTAATTTTAAACCGTGTCGTGTCTGGTTGGCTTCAAATCCAAAAACTTCAGGAATCACAGACACGTGGATACCACTGGTGCCATTTGGTTGTGTTTAGCCGGGTTTGTTGGGCCAATATTTATTCACCGGCTTTACTGTGCATTGGTTATATATTACGACCTTTCGATAGACCCGTTGTTGGAAACTGAATATAAAGGTCGTTTTTATGGAATTAGAATATATACAGTGACGTTAATTCCGAGCCGGCTGTAAACATTTTGACAGTAATCAAGGTCTATTATGAATATAGGATCATCAGCCTCTATGTGAAGTGACGCATCTTCGTAGATTAGATGCAATTAGATATGAAATGTATTCAATCAAGGATTTTATTTACGTGGAAGACCATGCACTTGAAAGCAACTTTTCATCACCGGTCTTGTGCTTTGTTGTAGTGTTTCAACGTCTACTTTCTGGAAATATTCATGTTTTCTATAATCTGCCATCATCATTCTGACGTGTTGTATGTTTTGATAAACACTGGATTGATGTGAACACGCGTGGCTTAATCCCCTATATATTTTATATTGTCATTAGTAGCGAAGTTCCTTATGATTCTACCAGAAGACAATCGTTGGGATAATCTGTGAAAATAGTTTTGCATGAAATTAACAGCTGCCGGAGAGTAAATCAAGCCGAATGGATTCGTCCAAGGAAAACATTTTCTCTAAAGATTTACACCTTTATTCTTTCAACATGTTTGGAACTATTTGCCAACTGTAAAGGCAGGCAGTGGTAAGTGATAAACCGGTGTTTAAATTCACAGAAGGGAGATAATAAGTCTTGGAAGTAGAAATTTACACCTGTCTTCTAGAACTTCTTTTCAGACACTTATCATCCGATGTTCATTGATCCGTGATTGGTTAAAGTCAATTATTCGTTGCTTCCGTTCATTTCGCTGCAGTTGATACGACGTTGATCTCTGCTGTTCTGGGTTGATTTTTGACAGCAATGGTAACCTTCTTTAAGTCAACGGAATCAATGCCATGGATCATTTGTGGAAGTGGATACTTGAATGACGACTGGAATTAATACTGGCGAATGTCATTAATTTTTTAATAGCATAAGTGACACCAATCTTGCGAAGTAGTGTCTGATGAACATAAAGGAAGTAGTTTTCCTCCAGTAAATTATAAACCATATTAATTTTATGTTATGGTTTCAAACTCTGGTGCGTACGGTTAAAATCTATATGCGTTGTTATTTATATTAGTCACAGATCCTAAGGAACTGTTCTATTGAGTTTATCTCGGTCCACCCAACAGGGGGTTTGCGAAAAAAGTCTTAACAAGTAACTTTTTATGTATAATATCGAATTGTCTTAAAGGAATTGAAATTAACTTCTAGAAGAAGCAATTGCTTGAAGTTATATATTATATATATATATGTTTATAACTTATACGGTTTTTCCAATTAACCCGTCATATTGTTATGGGTGTGTTATTGACAGGTCCATGCCGTCGATCATCATCTAGAATCTCCAACACCAGAATATGATACACTGTTTCTGAATGTGGGCTACTAGTGATTGTGTTCATCATATTTTGAAAGGCATGAACATATGTGTGAGGGTTTAGATCACTATTTGTTTTCGAACACTGTGAGGGGTAACAGTATGTGAAGGATGTAGGTTAGATAGACGTAAAGGATTGATAAAAAAAAATTAAATGTTGTATGTGGATTTGAGATTTTGGTAAAAGTAAACGTGACTTCAAATTAAAACACTTCAGAGGCACGCGTATGGATACCCAGTGTTTATTTTGTTCCAGGGTGCCGTTTATCTATCCAGTAGAAATACTTTTTAAAACGGTGGGATTATAACTGCAAGTGGTCGTGTTTTTAAATTACAGCATTATAAACATGAATTTAATTTGACGGGTCGTATTGATGGATATAAAGAGAGTCTACGTGCTTGTTGAAATGGTTATGCTATAAGAGACGGTACACATGGATTCACAGCAGCACAAACTACATAACCAGATGCGTGCTAGTTATGCACCTACAGTGGTTTTTTTAAATTAATTAAATTAGAATCAACAATATACCTACATGTATCTTTTCTCTTTCGTTTAAACCACTGATCTGGTAGATAGATATGTAATTAATGACGTAAAAGTTTATGGGAATCTTGGTAAATTCTAACGAGTTTGTGTAATCTCAGATCAGCAGCCAGGACTTTTCCGTTTCAGGAAACTTATCTCTAGACAGGATATGCTTGATGGGATCTTCTAATAAATATCGCACCAAGCAATCGGCTTCCCTGATGTAAGACCGACCAAAATAATTATTTTAATGTATAAGGCTTTATTCTGGGAATGTATACTAGTACTCGTGGAAGAACTGAGCTGTGTTTAAATACACCCATTCAAACCGAGAACGATATACCAATTATATGTTGATTTAATCCAAGGTCTGTAATATTCAGCACTTGAACTTCTATTTAAAGACTCTAAGAGTTTGATTTAAACCTCTATTAATTAAACACAATGTCTGAACATTTTTAGTAAAACCCGAAAACCATGACATTTCAAATTATATAACATTACAAAAAAAGATCAATAGAAAATGTCCTATTTCTTTTTGTGTATACGTTCATTTATTTCTACACCTTGGCTAAAGGCTAGGTAAATAAACAGTTCTTTTTTCTCTGTGGGACAATCTTAAGAAACACAATTCCATGTTAAAAGATAGTGAGATACACGCGTTGCTGTAGCACAGCGTCTATTAAGAACTTTTAAAGTTAAATGAAGTGGGCGAAAAGTTCAAACTCGTGTTCCAGGCTAATTCTCTGAAATTAGCTTAAGTCGTTGATGCATTAAACTAACGAATAATTAACTGGGAAAGATAATTGGATTTTTCATCGTAACATACGTTTTGGGAAGTGCTGTTGCGTAAGGAAGCTGAGACATCCCATCTTCTGTTTTTAAAAGGTGTTTGCGAAAGTAAAGGAAGACAATTATAGTAAAATGAAAGTTGAGGCACCAAAATGGACGGAAGAACAGACGCCATTCTCTATATCTACGAAGTGTACACAGATCCAAGGTGCTGACGTTTTAGCGTAGAAAACCTAACCAGGTAAAACGGCACAGCTTCTTTTCTTCAGTTTACGAAAACGTTTCTTTGATCCGTGGTATTCGATTCGGACATCAAGTGCAAACTCTGACAATGTTCAACTTATTTTGTGTTATAAATGGCTGAAGATCGTGTTGCGATCTCATGCCCACATGTCTCGACATTTAACATTTTTTACATCGGAAGTAGTCGCGTAGGAGTACAGAATCCAATATTCGTTAAATTCACGAATGTGTAACTTATATTTGGTATAAATTTTGATTTAATAAATCGTACTTGGATTATTAAAAATTTAAAAGCATACTTATTGCAGAAATAAAAAAAAAGAATTAAGGTCAGATATAGATCTTTGGCGATTGTGTTCAGTTTTACAGCTGTTTTATTTAATATATTTGCTGCCAAGTTGGTTCATTTGAACAATGTGCTTGTGTTTACCTGTCAGTTATAATTAAAAAGATGTGAGAAATGGCTTTAAAGTATATTTCGTAAAGAGTGTAAAGGTATTTGTGATATCTTGATTAACGAAAAATACTGGGTTATACCCATGTGGTGGTATTTTCTTGTCAGTATCAATTATATAAACACTAGAAAGTGCTCTTAAGTTGTTCATGAAACATAAACAACATAGATATCGCTAACTGGATTGGGATTGAAAATATCCATCACTCTCAAATAGATTACACCCAGAGAGTCTGATTTAACGGATTTAACATATCGATGGTGTTGGTTTATTTGGAAATAATAACGGATAAAGGCTCAACAATTACAATTAACAAGAACAAGATATTCTTAGTTATAATAAACCCGTACGGTGAAATGAAACTTTGATAATAGATACTAGGAATAATCTTTTACCGTTTACAAATCTTAACTGGTCAAAGTAGTATCTATTGTAATATCAACAGCAATTAAAAGACAGTGCTATCGTAGTGAAATAGAAAAAATAAAAAACGGTTGATATCATCATACATTAACGTTAATCGTTTATCTCCCATGTTTTACCTGAGCGTTATACGCCTTGGTTGTATTTTAATGGCGAATAGTGGACGTGTGACGAAGTACAGACACGCGATTATTTAATACTATCCCGACCAGAACTTCTTACAGTTTTTGGAGCACTTCCAGACTCTTTGGTAATTAGAAGGTAAAAATATTGCTGGAAGTTTATTATCCCACATTCTACAGAGTTTTGGAACTTCTTTACTTTGCATATCATCGCATGCTTTTTCTAACCTTTGATTCCTGGAATTCAAAGTCTTGTGAAATAAGGATTAAATTGGGTCATCTTAGCTCCATAAATTCTTATTTCGTTTTCACTGCGTAGACTAAGAGTAAATTATACCTGTTGTGGGAAGTCATTAGCGCTGAATCTGAATCAAGTTCGTTTGTACTTACGCTACAGACCAAAGAATAATAATATATTTGTGATTCCCACTTATATTGTGGTGCTGTTGGACCTAAAATAGCATTTGGATATTTCGTTGGTGGTGTAGGCCTAATATTTATATTCATTTTAAAGATTAATGTAAACGTTGCATTCGGTGTGCCAAATAAAATCTATCGGAAAGTGCGAGTGAGTGAATCACATAAATCACCTCCTGACCTTTCCCCGGAGGTTTACACTTTACTTTAAGGATTAATGTCCAAGTTGCTCTGGTGTCAAAGTGAAATATTTCCGCCAACGTCTCAGTGTTCCGTTCGAATGCTAAGCTGTTTGGTGACCGGAACGACCAGCGGTAGTGTAGGATCCATCTGCCCAATATGCCGTCTATGGTGAGATTTTTTGGAGAGTTAGCAGCAACTACAACTGGTGGTGGAACTCCTCCAATTTCATCAGCTGCAGCTAGGAGACAGAGTTTACGTCGCGCTTCGTCTGTGACCGGAGATTGTCTCGAACAGACGATACATCTGACATCGACATCAAGTACACCTTCAGCTCATGATAGTGGTGGTGGTGCCATCTACACTGAAGGAGATCATATGTAAGTAAAATGACAATACATGCTAGTTCTGTATTTGTTCGAGAAATTAGACAACCCAATTTCTATGACATACCAACCATATACTGATAAAATAAATAAAAAATTGTCCCATGCTTGCAAGTTATCATTAGTAACCTTCCCCTCAAGGACAACGACCTTTACGTCACATAAGTAACTCGTCTCCGTTTATTTGTTTCTGCCACAAGAAGTTGCCTTGATTCTGTGAGCCTATCTAGTAATTGGATAATGACAATCAATTGACAGTTTCGTTTAGATATTATCCGATTACGTTTACCGTTCTTAAAAATCAATAGCTACACAGTTGGGTAATTTTCACTTGTAGAATTTGATTAAAATACCATTATAAATTTCTAAGCTACAAGTAAGTTTTATTACCAACATGGACATATATTCTGTATTTTATACGGTAACACGAGTCGTTCTAAATAGATGCCATAATGTTTACATTTACGTTAGATCTAGTGTTTAGGTTTATTGTAAACTTTTGAAATTGGATTTCGTAAACTTACTCTGTATATTTGAAGATAACCATTAGTTACGTTGATATATACCCGTATTGGACTTAGTTAGCGTATTCTTATGAAAGTATAAACCAGGGGTGTTTTAAATTGTAAAAAATGAAAGTGGTAGACACCAGTCTCTATTTGGAATATTTCTAAGGATCTATACTCATATCGATAGATTTTATTTCGTCCTTTTATTTTATTTCAAGCTTGGATGCGATCTTATCTAATGTGTATTCTATTCTGGCTATGATTTATTATGCAATTTTCCGACATGGTCTATTTATTTTTCTTGTGAATGTATTTAAATAATAAAAACAACGAAACTAAGAACTACAATTACGTGTTATAGAAATATCCTTCGATAAATATAAAGAAATACACACGTTTATATCCTAAATATAATAATTATTAATTACCATACCACTTATTATTATTTTAGTTACCAAGATATCAGTATAACAACATGTTAAGATAAAAATAATATTGATTAGTCCACGTTAATCAATCAAACGCATGTTGTGATTTGATCTCTATGTAGTGAAAAAAAAAATATTGATCGTGAACTGATACACGTGTGTTCAAAAGTCAATAGAGTATTTTAAACACAACAAACTATTAATACTTTTATACATTGCTCTGATTTATGAGACTCCTGTTCAGATTAAAGTCACACTTCGATTGCGTTATGAATGGCCGAAAGTTGACTCATATAAATCGAAAGTAGACTATTGGTCAATTTGAAATAAATCAATCTGCATATAAGATGGGTCAGATGCCTTTTGGATTCATCAATAGGTCTCTTACTGGTCTTCTGTGATAAACTTGATATGACATAATCTAAAAGTGCCGGGCTTGATAGCTTATAATAGATCGCTGAATCATGACTAGCGATGCCAAACAATTGCCCGTGATACGCCACAATCGCTATTACAAAAAGTGTTTATAATTGATTTGATATTTGGCACGTTTAACTTTTATTATGTTTTTGTCTTGACTATCTGTGGAGGTCTTTCGAGATTTACTAAATTTTTGCTTAGAAAATTAGAATTCTCCCAGGATGTTTTAAAAAAAGTTATAGGATTTATATTGATAAAAGGGAATTTTCTAATTTTATCTGTCCTCTGTCTCGGGTTTGTGTTCTGTTTGTTTCTTGAGAAAACAGCAAGAGCATAAGAATGCGACTACCAATAAGTTAAATTATGCTGAAAGGGCAAACTATTCATTCTGATTTCTTGTTTTGATCTAGTCTGTTCGTTCAATACTTACTGGCTGAAAAGTTCTAAGCCTATCTGTGAACGCCCTGTACTTGAAAGTCGATGCTTTCCATTTAATTTTCTACATAGTCCCCTTCGAGGTGTACGCACTTCTGCCAACGATTTTACAAGATCTAGATGTCGGCAGTAAGAAATTTTCTTCAGCCACCCTAAAAAAGTCGTTCACAACTGACATGACGTCATCATTTTTAGAAAATTCACGACTGGTTAGTTCCTTTTTGGAGAGAGAGAGAGAATGGGGTTTAATGTCCACTCGACACAAAATAGTTCATTTCGGGACTAACTCATGGTTCAATTTGTATTGCAATAATTCGCTTGCGCGAAGGAGTCTTTAGCAGTGGGAGGAAACCGGATGACCCGGAGAAAACCCACGAGGTTGGACAGGCGACCCTACTCCTTGTCACGTACAACCGGGGAATCGAAACCCAGCCAGTTGACTCAATGACAGACCGTATGATACAGCGCAGCACGCACGTGCTAACTATTCGGCCATCCAACCCCCCTATTCCTTTTTGGAAACCGGGTGAGTAAGGTGGATGGTCATGGATCGCTGACATGGCCATCACCGATTTATGAACAGGAACATCATCTTTAGTCTGCATCCTCCGTCGGTTAGCTTTGATAGCTCACGCAGCTGTCTCAGTAGTTCAGCATAATATCTTCCATTGACTGAATTTTGGATTCTGATTGAAAGTGATGAAGCCATGTCTCATCCATGGTTTTAAATCTGGTCCAAACATTACAGGATCTGCTTCAAAACGGCGCAGATTGTTACGGACCGTCACGAATCTGACAATTTCTGATCCGCCTTCATGAGCTTTGACACCCATTTTGAAGAAACGTTTGTCATTCCTAACTCGTTGGTGATAATATGTACTCAGCCCCCTCATAAGAGATGCCCACAACACTGCCAATCTATCGAAGGGTCAATCGTCGATCAACCATCACCATGTCATGCACCCCAGTAATGTTTTCTTGAATGGTTGCTGTTGATGGCCTTCCAGGACGCGAGACATCGTCAAGACTCCCTCTGCCACGCTTACATTCCGCAGCCCACTTCTTTACTGTGGAAAAGAACATCATTCCTTAGGAGACCATGTCGGCATGTATCTGTATTGGGGCTAGTCCTTTCAGTGCAGGTATTTCATGACTGCTCTATAGCCAGTTTTGTATATTTCTGGTGATTTCAATGGGTAGGCCCACAAGATGTCTTGTAAGAGACAATACTATACACTACGGTTGCAGTTCTTATGTCTATGATTCATTCAATGATTGTACTTGTTAGTGGCAAAAGTTTGTTTCAACCCCATTGGTCTATCCTTTTCAGGCGTAGAACTTTTCGTCCCGCTCTCGTACATTCCATTACGTAATTGTCATGCTGCTCCTGTCAGGGAACCCACGATAGCCCAGTGAGTGTGGTGCTGGCTCACTAACTAGGGGGTCCCGAATTCGATCACGGTCATGGCCGGGTACCCCGGTATTTTTCCTGACATGGCAAAAATCTAGTCGTTCAAATGGGACCTGTCGTTGAAATTTACCTCGCAACACAATGCATTTCAATTTTGCTTCTGTTAGTCATTCTCAACTTTTATATATGTTGCATTTAAATAACATATGATGTTGCTAAAATTTAAAATTCATGTATGGTTTATGTTTACTGTGAATGATATCAATCGTCGAGTCAATATCGTGTTCCATCACATTGGCTTATTAGAGGTATATTTGTCAGGTAAATGGGTGGAGACTGGACTTGGCATAGTGTGATAAGATAAGAATGATTTTGTTAATAGCAATTAGGCCTCCTTACTCAACAAATATAGTGTTGTTTTAACGTAATGGTTTGAGTTAGAACACGTGTAATTAGAAACATTGAAATATAAATGGTATTTGTTGTTTAGAAGTTGGTTATCTTTTTGTGTTCAGGTGTAGAGTAATATATTATTTTGATTTATATTCTAGATGGAACATTAGTGCAGTCGGTTTGCTATTTGTGTATGTTGATTTATAAACTTCAAAATTGTGTTGAAGGAAATAAACACGATGATGCTAAAACAAGACGCTTGATATCTAAATTATTTACCCTGCCTTTCGAAGAAAGCAGTGGACTATTAAAATTGGCCTTTTTGTCTTTCCGTTGGTCTGTAACACATTTTGGGACACAGGCATAACAAATCTTCTTCTAAAAGACTTAGAATGTTAAAATATTATTATGTGTTGTTTATTGGGCGAAATAATTTACATTCTTTGGCTAAAACAACAATAGTATATAGCTAAAAACAATGTGCCTATAGTTTATGACGTCATAGAAACAGCATCGTCATGTAATGATTATTAAAGTATCGATGTGTCATTTTAGCTCTATAGATAAAGGCATCACTTGCAAACTACCATGTAAATTTCTAACAGGAATATTACTCCAAAATTGGTTCAATTCCGTTCAGTATTTACTAAGATATGTTGACTTGAAATTTCATCGATCTGCGGCTCGCTATGGTAATAAACCCGTCGCCATTATGTTGTCCACGAACATATATTGATGCTCCTATTTTTAATTCTGTTGTCCTAATAATCAATCTGAGTACATCTTTAAACATACATTATGCAAGAGCTAAATCTGCCTATTTCTTTAGGCCTGAAATGTTATCTAAATTATTAATTAGACATTAATTTACTTATCCAGACCATAATCAACTCTTGATGTCATCACTAACCTGCGATATTTACTGGATTAGGATACGTTTTGCTGCTCAACTTTCATTCATGATTTAATCCTGAAATGGATAATCGAGACTATGTTTTTTATCGTAACGACTTTAGTAATGATGATCGAGGCTAGGCCGAAAATTCAATCGCTAAATTCTCGGTTCAGAGTGGATCGATTTGACTGAAATTTTCAGCAAATTCCCTTTACATTATCTAGTTTTTATCTATCATAGTGAGAACTGCCAGCTCTTTATCCAATCTCCCATAATGTATCTTTAATTTGATATCTTGGTGAAATATGAAAATGACGCAACATTGATTTAAATCAACTTTACATCATTACCATTCATATTAATCAACCATTTTGAATTTGAAATTTGACACTAAAATTTTATAATGTAGAATAATCATAATCGTAACTAATGTCTTCGCGCTGGAAGAACATTGTGTTAATAAAATTTAAGAGTTGGTTTTATATGATAAAAAATAACAAATA